TGTGAGGCAGAAGGTTTGTGGTGCTGAGAGCCCACCTGCAAACCAAACACTGGCAGGATGGAAGCACCCAGCCACAGATTCCCACCCAGCTTGCTCCCACCTCAGAGTCCCCAGAGCCAGACTTCCACTCACAGCCCCAGCCCTGAGGGAGGAGGGTGGCTTTGCATCTGCTGTGGCCACTCTGTGCATCCTGGGGTCACCACCTGCAGTGTCTGGCCGAGCAGTGCTGCACCGTGCTGGGCTCGGGTGGGAGCTGGTAAAGTCCTCCTGTGGCCCCAAGGTGACTGATCTGAGCTTGTCTAGCCTGGGGACATCTGGAGAAGTTCCAGGTTCCCAGAAAGTGCAGAATATCTGGAAAGGAGCTCAGGCACAGCAGGTTTCAGAGGTGAGCTGGACAACATCCAAAACCTTGCTCAGGACAGAGCTCAGAGCCATCTGCTGCCTTCTGCATGGATGGGGGCCAAAATGCCAGGAGATGCTAAAAAAGGAGAGAAACTCTTGTGTGTGCCCAAGGCCAGTCTCTTTTCACCCCCAGGAGAAGGTAGTGGGCTTTGTTTGGGTGGGCACTGAGGAGGTGGGGAGCCCATAGCCATGCTGCCCTCACCCAATGCAGCAAGCCTGGAGCCACCAGCACTGCTGATTCTCATCCCTGCTGGGGTACACTGTGTCGAGGGGTCAATGAAGGGTATATCTGTGCTGCAGTGGGCAGTGCTGGCCTTAAAATAGCATTGCTTTGGCCTAGGACCAGCAGCACTATAGCCACAGCAGCACCCACTGCCTGGAGTGGAAGCAGATCCTCACCCAAGTTTTGGGAAACACACAGGTGTTCTGGGCACCTCCCACTTGCTTCACCTCCCCTGGGGCAGCTGGAACCACTTTGTGCCCTTGTCCTTTAAACTGAGGGTCATGGAGCTCTCTTCTGGTTTGGGGGGAGGGTCTTTATAAGGCAGGGGCAAAAGGTCAGGCTCTTGGAGTGAGAGGGTGCTTTGGCCTGAGTGCTCTCAGTTCAGTGTGCTGACTGGGTGCTTAGAAGAGTTTAATTTTGAAGTGCCAATTTCAGCTGGGTTGATCCTCTCTATGAAGAGCTTCACCTCTATTTCTAAAAGCTTCTGCTGCAGTTAGGTTTGAGCATGGCTCTCTGCTTCTAGAAGTTATTAATTTTCATTTGATTTAGCTCTGTTTTTCTTAGTTTGCTTATAATTTGGCTTCCAGCAAAAATGAGAAAGAAAAAACGAAAAGCAAACGCAGAGCTCCTTTTCCTCTGCCTTGCCCCCAGGTTTGTGGGTTTGTGACCTGGGCGTAGGAGAAGAAAATCCTCCTTGGATCTTCAGAAGCCTGGAGGAAAAATAAAACCTTTCTGCTGTGTCAGCCACCTGAGAAGCTTAACTCAGGGTCATGCAATGTTGCGTGGGAAGACAGACCCTGCGTTTCTGACCAGAGGAAATGGAAATATGTGTCTAAATGGAAACTACAGCTCTTATGCTGGCCTGGAGCATCCTTCTTGCTGGCTGGTGTTTCATGCTCAACAGAGGTCAGCAGTTCTCATCAGCAACTTGCGCTGGAGTGCACAACCCTGGGCGTAAGTAATGCTGGGATGTTGGATGGAAGGTCTTGGAGGGATGCAGGAGGTGCTTCTGGGTTGAGCTGCCTTATCACAGGGGGGTTGTAGGGGCAATGAATCATGGTACCTGACAATATTTCACTCTATTTTGTTATTTTGGTGGTAAGAAAACTAAGGGCAGCCACTGTTTGATACTTTGAGATGCATTTTCTTACAGATCAAAGCATCGTCTGGTTGGTGCATAATGGAAAAGCTGGGTATAATTTATAATAGTGCTGTTGGTATAATTAAGTGTCAGAAGAAAAGCATGGAATAAAACCCTAAAATGTATTTCAGAATTTAAGGGGACCAATGGCTTTTGGGTGTGAAATGCGGGCATTCTTCACCTAAAGTAGTTTTCTGCAGAGTTTCTAATTAGAAATAGATGCAATATCATGGAAAAAAATTAGTTTTGTTGGAAATGTTTGGGTCAGCAATATTCATAATTCTTTCATTAACCAGGCAGTAATAATTCAAAGTAAAAGACTCTTTCAGTAGCTGTTCAGGGTCAAGGTAGTGACTTTGTGAAGAGGGACAGAGACAGTAGGTGATATTCACGTGGCTCTTGGCTTTGAGCAGTAAGGAGGGAGGCCATTTCTCAGACTTGATTGCTGCTTCTGTTCAGAATGCCCACACTGTTGCTGCTTAGTGAGAAAGAAAGAGATCATTTCTGAGATTTTAAAATTGATTGAAGGCTTTGGAAATACGTGAGGGACATGCTGAAGTACTGACACCATACTGCTCCATACAAAACTGCTGTGAGCTGTTCCTTCTCATCTTCCCTCATTCCCAAGAACTTCTTCACCTCAGCTCTTTCTCTCTTGCACAGGTATTTGGTTTTCCATGAAGTTTTAATTACAGACCTGTGCTTTCTAATTTTCACACTGTTTGCTCCATGTTATTTGCTCCATAGGCAGCTGAAACAGAGCTGGTTTAACACAGTCGATGAATGTCCAAGGGAAATGCTGCAGGAGCAGAAGACTCTGGTGGCAGCTGAGCATCCATTGGCTCAGCCTGTAGGATTGACACCTTTGGCAATGAATACTGAGGGGTTGGTTGGGGGCTGCAAGGACAAGGAGGGTCTCTGGTCCCCCTCCTCACTGTGCACTCGACCCAGGGCAGATGTGCTTGAGGGCTCAGGACCCGCTGCCGGCACCTCCACTGCCCTAAAAGAGCACTGGAGCTGTGGAGTCCTGGGACCCTGTTCCCGGGGGGCTCTGGGGACTGGCAGGGTGCCCAGATCTGCTGCCTGCTCACCCCTACCAGGCACTTCCTTTGATCTGCAGAGGCTGCTGCTTGAGAAATCCAATTAATCTTAAATATAAAATAAGTTCTGAAAAACTTTGCTTTCCTTATGGTTTCAGAACATTTAATGCAATTTTAATACATTTTTGATTGATTTCTGATTTTCCTCTGGGGGCTGCCTGGCGGAGTTCCAGTGCAAAACATGGAGCTTTATAACTAAGAAGTGTATCACTCAAAATTTCTTATGGCATTGTGGATTGAACTGAACCCTGAGAATAAATAACCAGGAATTTTAAACTGTATTGCTTTAAAAATGTGTGTGCAAGCAGAGTTTTCCTCCTGGTTAGCAAGTAGTGGCCAAAGGGTATTGACCATTTTTAATGAAAACAGTTCTAAAAAAATTAAAAATGCAAATGCAAAAATGTGGACTGTAATCAAGAATTCCCATTGCAGCATTAAAACATGGTTAAAATTGGAGATTTAATTTCTGGTATTTAAATCAAGTCACCTGAGATGTATAACCATGAGACAGCTGAAATAAGTGGTTTGAAGCCTGGTGAATCTGGGTTCAGATTCAGACAAGGTCAGAGACAGGGGGAGGGTAAGGAAGCAGAGGAGATGAATTTAAACTTTCCAGCCTGCTTTTAGCAGATTTTTGACACCAGAGGCATCTCAGTAGAGTCATTGCAATGGTGCTGGCTGTGCTGATGGTCGTGCAGATCAGCACAGACCAGGGCTGAGCTGGGTGTGAGCTGGGGAGCTGTGCATGGCTGTCACTCCATGCGTTGCCACGTTGACCTCAGAGATGCAAAACTGCAGGTCTGGCTGCTCCTTTGGGATGTTTGTGTACCCCAGCAGTAATGGCCAGTCCACATGGTGTCACTGCTGTCCTTGGGTCTCTTTGGGTGGGGAATCTCGATGCCTTTTAGGCTTAGTTATCACTGGGCATTAGTGGTGGACTGCATGTGAGCTGCAGGTAGCCCAGGGGACCAAAATCAGTCTTGCTCCATGAAAGTTTAATTTGGGGCTGTCTTGAAAACTCCCTGCCTTCGTTTCTCATACATTTCCTATTTTCTGGATCAACAGATTCTAAAGTGAACCAGTTAAACACCTGAGATCTGCTCTTCTTGCCACCCTCCCTGTGTGTGCCATGGAGGTTACTGGAGTCTGAGCACAGAGTTTTCCCCGAGTCCTGTACTGACTTCTGAACTGTAGCAATGTGGGTTGAAGCTGCCTGCTGAGACCTGTAATGACCCAGCGAGCTGGGGACACCTTTGGACAGCACAGGCTGCAGCAGCATCGCTCATGTGGTTCTAGGGCTAGCATCAGTCCCTGGTTGTTTCAGAAAAAGATCTAAGCTCATAGTTCTGTAAGGTGTCTGCACAAATTCAACTGCTGCTGGTTTCAGTTCAGGTCTGTTCTTATATTAGCCATAGTAGCTGCTCTGAAAACAGCATAACAACTCCAACCCCTACTTCTGGCTAGGACACAGGCAAGGATTTATCAGTGGAATTTAGTCTTTGTGGCAAACTGGGTTCCAGGCACACAGATCCTTCTGCCACAGGACTCGCTTCAGGGACAAGCAGATTTATAAAGCACCCAGCTTTCAGGCAACAGAGTCTTTTTGCAAGATGAAAGAATTAGCAATTTTTTCAGCTTTTTCAAGAGGAGGAGTTCCCTGGGTGCTTTTTACTCCCATACTCTGGCTTCTTCAAAGAGACCCACAGGTGCTCTGTGCTCTTCATTTTCAGTTGCTAGCAGGAGGGACTCGGGTCTCGGTTGCCCTATTTCTTTTGGTATGCAATTTGTTACTGATAATGAATTGCTGAAATACAGATGCTGCAGTCCCCCACTGAGGTGAAGCTCAGCTCAGTGCTCTTCCTGACTGAGGGAGTAACCTGAAATAGCCCCTTTGGAGGGGTTGACCTGCAGAGCCACAGGAACACCTGGAGATCCATCAGGTCTGTCCTGAGCTCCTGAGAATCTGTAGTGGTGTAGCTACACAGAGAACAGTTCTTCACTGTCACACTACAAGGAGGGCTGTCAGGAACACATGTCCTTCCTGAAAATCATGTTATGTTGTGGGTGTGTTTTAAGATGTCCTGGCAACTAGAAGAGAACCACAAGAGAGACAGCAAGGAGGTTTTCCATGTCGAAGCTGTTTATTACATTAGATAAATACATTTGCAACAAGTTTGAGTTATTTCCTCTGAGTGCAATTGCTGGTAGTATGGCACAATGATTAAAAAAGAACTAAAACTAGCAGAGGCACTTGTTGCATGCAGCTGAAATTACTACCAAGCCCAGTGATGCAGCCCCTGCTAAAACAGACCTTCCACTGGCTGTGAGTGTGAATTTGCCGGTGGGGTCGGCACCAGCTGGAGCTGCAGTGATGCACCTTGGGTGGGAGGGTCCTGACTCCCAGGGCAAGGAGGATAATACGTCTGCTTTAGGCATGATGTTTAGTATTGCTTTTGGTTGAAGAGTAGTGAGGTTGTGTGACTGTAACCAGTGGGGAAAGGCAGAAGTTAGAATGCATTTACATTATCTTTATAAAAACAATCACATTGACTTTTACACAGTGATTATATGTAGAGGTTGTTGAAGAACATTTTTGTCAACCGAAGGATGGACTTGATAGGCTATGCCAGGAAGATAAGAGCATTTTTATTAGAAAATAGAGCTACACAGAGGGGTCTTTCCATTAGGATTTTCAGGAAAATCCATTAAATGGTTTGTTCAGCTGGACAAAGAGAGAAAAAAGTGGCAAACAACCTTGCAGATAAAATTTGTCAATTTGCTTCCCCGGCATTTGTAACCCTTTGTTCTTACATAGACTTTGCTCCTGCAAGGACTGTGTGTTGCTGTCCCTGCCCTGCCAAGGACAGGCACATGACCGACCCTGCTCTCTGTAGTTGGACAGCCTGCTCAGAGGCTTAAACTTAAGCACCTGCGTAAGTCCTTAGCTGAACAGGAGCTTATCAGTGACATATGACAGTGCCAAAGGGTTCTGCATGCAGATAGATATAAACACTGAGTGGAGTATTGGCACTGGGAGGTGTGAGGACAAGCTTTGTCCTTGCTCTGCGTCAGCCGTGTGTGCAGGCAGGTGACCGGCAAACTGAAAGTTTCCTAGACTGGAAATTAGGTTATTTTGGTTTTTTTGTAAGAAGCCCCACTAGTATCAAAGTGGGATATAAGACTTAATGACAAAAAATGGGTTCTAAACTTCTGGGAACAGAAGTGTTGCTCTTTGAGCTGGGGCATCCATTCCTATGGTACACATGGACCCGCTCACGAACAAGAGAGAACAGTGTGTTTGCTGCAAGTATGATGAACATTAACATTCACACCTGGAAAAGTCCTCTGTTACTGCTGATTAACTGGGTAGCAGAAACTGAGGCTAAATAACAGCCTGGTGAGCAGTCTGCAGTGGGTAATGGAAGCAGTGGAGGACTCTTGCTAGAGGACATCAGAATTAAAGCCAATCTGCAAATCTTCTGCCTCCTGAATGGGATCTCCTACAACAGAGATCAGCAAAAATTGTGCAGTTCAAAAAATCTATGAAACACTCTTCATGTACCTTATAGCCTGCTATTTTGGGTTCTCTAATCACAGTGCTGAGCACCTCAGAAATCAGTGGGATACGTAACAAAGCCAGGTGCCATTTGGCATAGCTCAAAATCCTGCAATCAAAATGAGAGAGTAAATGGGGGTCTGGACAAATCCTTTGCCTGGGGAGAACTTCCCATGCTGTATACTACAATCCAGACCTTCCCTATTAGTTTCATCAGGAAGAATTGTAAATAAGAACCTTAATTCATGTGTCTCTATCTGAGGCTCTCCAAGTACTTTCTGGTACTGAGATAGACAAAACGATGTGAGACAAGATAATATTGTGCACTGACGCACACAAAGTGACTTGTGTGATCATCAAACGAATCTGTCAGAGCTAGAACAGTAACTTACAAGGTCTATGTCCCAATTCCTTGTCACAATTCCTTCCTTCCTCTTATGGCAAGAACTAGAGGTCAGGTAGGATGGTAAGGAAGAGGAGAAATAGTGAAATGCCCTTCTTGCAGTTTTGTGCTTTCAAGTCTTGTCTGTTCATGATGCTTGCTGTGGTTGCAGTACCTGCCCTGTATTGCGTCCCATGAGCTGAACATGTAGTCACTAAAAAAAGGCAGCTGTGAGGAAGCCTTAGAATTTGAGGAACAGAGGACATGGGAATCTTGCAGTCCCCACTCCTCAAAGGTAAATAATAAATTTCCAGAGCTCCTATGTTCACTTATGACTTCTTGCATAATGCCTGTCTTAATGAAAGGAGAGAAGGAAATGTACCTTACAAATTTGTGGGAAAAATCTTCCATTGAAGGTGCTGAATCTCTCAGAGGTAGAATGCATATTATTGTGTGTTACTGCAAATGTTATGCTGAGGAGTCTGAATGACAAAGCCAGGAGCAACATCTCTGCTTATTGTCCTTGTCATTCTAGTCCTGTCTCATCCTGCTGAAATACACCTGAAACAAAAGATGGATGAAGTTGCATGTGGAATCACTCTTTGAAAATCACAGCAAGTTCTATGGAGTTGACACCAGCAGTATCCAAGCTCTGCTCCATGGGCTTCTCATGGCTAGCAGCCAGTGGTTTGACTAATCCATGGACCCATGGCAGAGGATATGCCTAGTTTTTGTATGAGTAGGATAGAGCAAGGTGGTGCTACAGGGTCAACATTAGTCCAGTACCCCCTTATTCTGAGTGCTTCTGCACCCTGATCACTGGAAATACGGCTGCAGTGGGGTAGGGAGCCTGTGCAGAACCAAGTGAGTCAAGAGTAAATCTACTCACATAACCCTACTTAACCAGGGGTCCTTCAGCACTTCTGCTTAGAGATGCTCTGGCACACAAAACAGTAAAATCCGGGCCTTTTCTGAGATGCTGCTATAGTGACTGAGGGAAATATTTGAAGCAATCTATTTCCAGGAAAGACAGGATATTCTTGTTGCTTGTTAATGGTATTGATGGTTACCCAAGATTTGTGGGTGATACTGAGGGTGGGACAAACTGTGCTAGACCAACAGTTATATTAGTAAAAGTCTGGAGAATCTTGTGCTACTTGAGTTACAATGATAACTGTAAAATAAGGGTTGCTGCATAGTAGTAAACTGTGCTGCCAGAATGGCTTGCTGACATCTTGACCTGTTGAGCAAAAATCATTTACACTGTGTGCTCTTAGAGATATTGCCGTTGTCCTGCATATCTGAAAATGGTCGTTTGTGTGTTAGCCTTCCCAGTGGGAAAAGGCCTCCTGGACAACAGCATTTTATGGCTCTGTCTGGTGAAGTCCTTTCAGTCATCTAGATGCTGCTCCTCCCATGTGGACGTTGGGATGGCACTGTAAGGGTCCATGATGACTTTTGCACAGCGAATAATCATCACAATCAGGAAGAGGCAGAGGAAAACAAAACATGCTAATGTCAGTCCCTTGTCCACGTCAACGTACACAGGCTCTGGAGTTGGTCCCTCCATTGCTCGAGCCGCTCCTCATCTGGGTTTATATTTACTCCTAACATCATCAACCACCTGCAAAACAAACATGCTGTCAGGCACGAGTGATTGCTGCTCCTGGATATGGGGGAACTTGGGGGTAGAACTGGAAACAGAAAACCTCTGTGAGATACTGTTGCAGGGAAATAAACCCACTGGAAATGTCACAGCTTAGGTAACTGAGAGCTGTGAGCAGAAGAAACCTCATCTCCATGTTAATTTAGCCCACAAATGCTTCTTGCTAAAATATTAGACACTAAAATGAGATGTTAACAAAGGAAAGAGAAGCAGTAATGAATGAAAACTATCCACTTGAAATATCATCTCTTAAAAGAGGCACAGACACTGTTCTTGTCTCAGCATTTCCTAATCATAAAAATATTTCCATTCCTCTACTAGTGTGAAAGATCAGACAAATGACACAGCAGACTGTTTCTATCCCAATTTTCCTCTCTGTCCAAACATTCTCTGTCTCTTACTGGCACAAAGCAAAGTGAAAATTATGCGTACTTATTTTCCATAATCTTTTAATTTCCAGTACTCATAGGTTCTCCAGGCAGTAGAAGATGTTTTTTTTTTAGGAGCAATATAATTTTTAAGTGGGTATTTTATCACCCAGAGAGGTACAGGTGATTGTGTGATTAGAACAGGGATTATCTTAGCTATGCAGACATCTGCATCGAATTAAGGTCTTTTCTGGCCTCCTTGTGTGAATCCATAACCAAAATGGCCTCAGCAGTGATTGAGACCTTTCTGCTTCTGCAAGTTTTCTTCTGCATAGTTCATCATCTGGTAACACAAATTGCTTTGTGTGATGATGCTGAAGGAGAGGAACTGACCTGACTTACGGAATTGAGTCACTGCCCAGGGATGGGGGAAACTTTTTCTGACATTCACCTTTGGCCACGGTGGGGGGTAGAAGTGTTGAGGGTTACAATGAAGAAGATCAGGAATAGGGAATGCCTATTTAAAGCAAACAAAACAACAAAGTCATTTGCATCAAATGCAATAATCAATCTGAAAACTAGTTCCTGCTTCATTTGGAGTCAATAGATGGGAATGAGAAGATATTGAGTCATAGAGAGAATTGGGTGAAACTTGGGTATCAAATGGCCCAGCTGCTCTCTATCACTGCATTTATGCAGCGAGGAAATCCCAGGTACAGGTTTTATCTGCACAGCCAAGTTTGCCTGGTTATGTTTCCAGTGAGCTGATGCTGCTGGCAGGGCTGTTGCAGTAGTGGTTCACATCTGGCTGGAGCATCGTGTTCCTGCAGCATCATGCTGTGCCAGCTGCCAGTGGGTGTCCCAGTGAATCCTGAACTCCTGTGCCCTGCAAATCTTCCTCAGGGTGAACCGAAGACCTTTTAGAACAAAAATTCACAGTTCCTTCTCTGTCTCATAATTTACTTCTTTTCAAGTTGTTTTCCAGCCTCACAATGTCTTGGATCCCACAAGGCAAGTATAAATCAGCTGGGCTCTCAAGTCTATTTTAAGCACAAGGATGTCAGATTTTTTTAATTTCCTGAAAGCACAGAAATTACTGCGACAGCCAGTCCTGCAGCAGGGAGATGAAAGAAGGTGATGACACAAAGGGAATGAAACCAAGCAGACATCCCATCATCTCATGGATTTACCAGTCACATCCTTAGGAGCTCATGAAGAAATCACTGAGGAGTGGGGTCAGGCTTGTAATGCTCACCTGGCTGATCAGAGGTCTAATATTCCCAGAAGACTCTGCTACTGCTCTATTTCACCAGCCAAGAGATGTTACATTGCAGTTTATAGCTTCATGTGATGAAAAAAGGGTTCGTCAGCAAGGCTGAGTATTAGGTATGAATACTTTATGAACACAAAAGAAAATTGTTATCAAAACTACTAATGCAGCCCAGTCCTTTCCTGTGGGAAAGGACTTGTGAAGGTCCAACAAGGATGGATTTGATTTTTGTCTTCTGACATTCTGGCTATTGTACCATGTGGGGTTATTTCACACTAAGTTACCTCCTGCAGAATATCAGAACTGCCTGGTAATTTCCATCAGTACCGATCTTTGAGGGAAAACTGCATTTTCAATCAAATGTACTTTCTTTGAAAAGATGAATCATTTACTTGGAAAATGATCAGAGGTTTCAAGTGGAGTTCCATCCCTTGGAGATTTTTCTCTTCAAAATGACATCACAAAATCTCACAGGAGTCTGGTTTAAGTGCTGCATCCCTCTGCTTCCCTCTGCCCCAGGACTGTGCCTGGAGCATGTTTCCTAGGAAAACTGTCATGCAGCCCTTTTCCTGCTGGAGGGGAAAAGCATGTTATGGAAAGGATAGGCCAGGCAGAAACCTTTACCCAGAGAGCAGAATGAAAGTGTAAGGCATCTGAGCTGTAGTTTGCACAGGACATTACAAGGGCAGCTTGAACCTAGTGGTTTCAGGTTTATATTGATCCCTTTTGGTGAAAAGTAGGCATCTTCAGTGGGAATAGAAATATTTTTTCCAAAAAGCTATATTCTTGAGGATGTATAAATCACATGTTTTCCTTCTGCTCTCCCCATAAACCTGATAATGTTTTGATGCTGAACTACTATTATGCATTAAGTCACTACTGGTGGAGAACATATATTTTGGGACTGGGCAGAAGTGTCTGGCTTTCCAAATTTGCTCTTCTTGCTCACAGCTTGGCTGCTCACCTGAATCTCTGTACCAGCACTGTCAGAGGGGAAAGACTCCTCACCTTGTCAGAGCTGCACATAACACCCATGCTCATCTGAGTCGCAGGTGGGTTGGGTGCCAGGAGGCATTTGGTGTTCTATGGCATAGGTTACTGCAATTGCATTCCAGGGGACTTGGCAGTGCAGAGACTTATTGGTGCTAAACAGATCTGGATGCTGGAATAGACCTATGTCCAAGGCAGTGTCTCCAGGTTAATTTGTTATGGCTGGAACATATCACTGTTCTTGACCAGGCACGTTGGGACCAGCAAGAGACAGTCCCCAAACGTAAAAGGAGTTATTTGCACGTATTCACCCAGACAGGTTCCTCTTGAGAAAGTCCAGCTTCCAAGTATTACCATGGACATGCTGTGTCCTGCTCCCTCCTGTCTCCCAGGTACTTGTGGTCTTCCATCTCTGTAACAGCTGCACAACTTGTCCTGTTTAATTTTCATTTCCTTCAACTTCCCTTCTCATTTCCCTGATACCCAGTGGTATGGCCAGGCTTGGAGTGGGGCGTGGAAGTGTCTGACAGGTTGGTCCATCCTGGAGGAGGCTCTGCCTGCACATCCTGCTATCTATCTCAGCCCTAGGGGAAGTGCTGTGGAGGTGAGCACAGTGGTTTTGCAGTCAGTTTTTCTCAGTCTTGCTTGTGAAATCCATCAGTGCTACTGAAATTAACTCTCGCTCCAGCTACAGGCTGGTTGACTGGATGTTTTGCTCTTGTTTACTAGCACGGCTGATGTTGACAGCATTGTGTGTGTGGAAAAAAAGAAGAGATCAGCAGAAACAGCTATAAAGTTTCACACTTGAATGATCAAGCTTTCTATGAATAGCTGAATTGTAGAAAATTACTTTTTTCCAGCTTGACAGCATCAAGCTTTAGAATTGTATTTCTTTTTAATTTCTTCAGATTTGTTGAAAATGTAGTTTGGTCTAAACAAAGCCAAAAGATGAAGAAGGGCAATCCCTGGTTCAAACCGTTAGGCAGTTTAGCAGTGCTGAGTGTATGTTCTGCTATAAATCCCCTGGTTTTTCACTGCAATCTCTTCCCCTCTAACTCCTCTGAGAATAGATGGGTGACACAGGCAGGCTCACCCAGGGATGGAGCTGGGCTGGCTTGTGGTGGTCATGTAATTCAGTACCAAAAATTACTCCGTGGACTTGGCTCCTTGTGGGTTGCAGAGGGTGAGAACCAGGAAGCAGTTGTGTCTCCTCAGAAGGGTTGGCATCACCTAGTTTTGATGCCCTGGTCCCCCTGGCTTGTGTTTGTCTGACCATTCTTGCAGTCAGGAGATTCTGCAGCCTGGGTCAGGGATATGGCCTGGGGATCAAGAACTTTGGTACCTCAGTGAAGAATCCATCCTGAGCATTTGGCCTTTGCTGTTCACTTTGTTTCCCCGTGCTCTTTTCGTGAAGGATTGGCACAGAAGAGAGGATATGTTCCATTTTTATGACCTTATGTACACAAGCAGGCAGATGTTGTCATCCTCTTTAGTATACCAGCTCTGTTACAGACTCTCTGTAATGCTTGTGCTCATCAGTGTGCCTAAATTTTGCCATCAGTCTTCCCTGTGCAAGATACTTTAAAAGATGTGGTTTATTTTTTTCTCCAGACCTGACAATCTTGGCACCGTCACTTTAAATATCAAGTAATAATGTACCACATACATTGCAGAGAGCTGGTTCCTATGCTGGTTTATCATGTTTCAACTCATCCCAACCCATAGGATATATAAAAAAACACTTTTTTTTCTTCTATACTCCTTTCCCAAAACAACATATGTAGAGGGAGGGGAAGGAAGGGAAATGATGTGATTTCATGTATGCAAGCCGATCCCTACCTTCCAGACCTGGGTAGGAAGCCTGTCACATCCCAGCATCGCAGCATTGTGGAGATAAAATCCTCACTGTAGTCATATTTTAAAAGTTTTTGTTGGTCAGTGGGGCTTTAACGGCGTTCAGGCTGCGCTCAGGTTCACCTCCACCCAGACCTGGAAGCAGTTCTCACCGGTGTGCTCTGAAAACAGAAGGTAATAATTGACAATTGCTCATCACGCAGGATGTGGGCGTGACGGGTTCGTTAAGCGGTTGGGAATCGCTCCAGCGACAGCCTGAGGCAATCGGATACAGTCATACACGGGATGGATTTGTTTGTCAGACATTCCCCAGAACAACATTCGTGATACAAAGAGTGATGTTCAAGCCTCAAGTCATATCGATATTTCTTCTCAAACAAGCAAAAATAACCCATTTTTAATTCATAGTGAAAGATCGACCAGGTTTGAATTGATACTGCTCGGGAGTCTGCATAATTAGTTAGGGATTGGATTTTTTTAACCTATTTCTTTCAAAAATGGCCGGAATTTAAGGGGAAAATTCAGTTGTTTAAACAAAACTCCTTGATTTATCTGAACTGATACACCAAGACTTAAAAACAAACAAAATAAATTCAATCAGAAAAACTCTTAAAAATTGCTAGATGACAAACCTGGTTTTTTTCCACATTGGTGTGGAAAGGAGTTCTGAGATGCGGGATGGGAAGTCTGAGAAGAACAAGCCAGAAATGACCCCAAATCCCTCGTGAGGAGACTCAGCTGATCAGAGTGCTGCTCAGGCAAGGGAGTAGAGGTGAATGACCAGGAAGGAAGGTGAAGTGCTGCTCCAGGTCTATGTTATGTGTGTTTGTCAAATGAAGTCACCTTCAATCTGAAGTTCAAATCTATAAAGGAATAGGCTGGACACTTAATCATACTCTAATATTCTTAACAATCTAGTTTCGATTAAAAACTCACTGCCTCTGAGCACAGGAGTCAAATGCTGTAGATAGATATAGACAGATGAGCTTCTTGCTATATCCAGAGAGCAATAATATGACCGTTAGCTTAGTCCAAAAACTAATTGTCCTTTTATACTTACAATTCTCTTAGCAGAAAATCAATACTTCATTTCAGTAACTCTGTCTTCCTATGAGCATGAATTCTCCTGTGTACCTGTAGTACACAGGCAGGTTTAATCTTTGTTTTTAACCCACTGTTTGGTGTTTTGTTTCGGTTGTTGTTTTTTTTTTTCTTACTCTACATATTGATTTTAAATCTTTATGCTCAGCTTAATTTATGCAAACTCCTTTATTCAATCTAACCCTCTCAGTTATGATCAAGAGAAAAATAATCTTCCTTCCACAAACTTGCTTTTAGCCAGTTGTAAATCACTGGATGTCAGTATTCCCTCAGAAGACTGAAGACATCATTTACGAGTGCCCAAAAAGTTCAAAATGAATAAATACATAAATCAGTTGGGAGAAAGTTTTAAAAATTGCTGCTGCACAAATGTTTCCTTCTTACATAGCCCCATGGCAAGAATAATATTAATCTTTATTGAGGAAAAAATGCAGCATACACTTAAAATAACTGTGGGCTGCTTATAATTTGAGAGCATCTGAAATCAAATAATCATTTTTCTCGCACTTAAGGAGTATGTGGAATTACTTGTTAACAAAAGTTAAAAAAAGAGATGGTTGTGCTTGGCAGCAAGTCGCTGTTTAGAGCTATTGAGTGAACTGAGGGACAGTTGGGATCTGGAGTGAAAAGCGCCTCCAGTCTCCTAAACCTCAACTTGTGTGGATAATCCTTGATTAAACTTTGCTGAAGTGAGAGCCTGAGAACATCTAGGAATCTTTCTCAGAGATTGGAAGTGGTAAAAAAGTGGGGTAAGGATCTGTGATGGACCTTATGAGTTGTTGGTTGTTGGACCCAATAGTGGGAAGCGCTCGGAATTAAGTATTAATTATATATTAATTAAAAAAGGGCAGGTAAGCCAGGAAGGGGTTGTGATGTTGTCTTTGTGTTGGTTCCTTTGCAATCCATAGGGGAGCAGGAGAAGAAAGGCCATCCAATGCTCCCTCAGACCCCAGCTCAGGGGTTTTGCTACATCTCCCGTGCTGTCCTTGGCTGGCCAGGATCTGAGCAATGGGTGAAGACAATAGCCCAGTTCATCCCTTGAGGAAGGAGCTCTGTGTCTCCTGTGTGTGTTGCAGGGACATTTCTTACGTTCCCTGTATGTTTGTGCTGTGGTGTGAGAGCTGCAGGGATTTTGTAAGGTGGTTCAACCAACCCATCCTCCTTGCGGCACTGGCTTCCCCCCCAGGGGCTGTGGGGAAACGTTGTTTCACCCTTTAATAGATAATGCCAGGAAAACACAAAGCAACACCCGTGATATGCAAAGTTTAGATGAGCTTGAAAAGGAACATCTGTCTGCAGCAGGACCACCCTTCATTCAATGCTTATTTTGATAAGGGGACTGAAGCTGCTTTCCTTATCACTGCTGTGACTCACAGTGTGTGCAACCCCTTTCATCATGGAGAGTGACAAAAGTAAAGGAGTCTTAGAGAAACAAATGGATTTGGCTTTTAAGCCATGGCTTGTGAGGTCTGAATAGATATGATATAAACTCATTTTAATGGAGTATCTGCTTTTTAAACTCTCTGCTGTTTAAATCCTCTGAAAGGAGAGAAACATGCCTGTTGGTCCTATCAGTAATTTTGTAAATTATACCATGGCTGTTAGCCAGGAGAACTTTCAGCAAAGCAATGGAAAAATTTTTCACTGCAGCAAAGCTGACAGGGAGGAAAAAAGAAAAACATTTTTTCCAACTACAGCTCTGAAAAATTAATTATTTTACTTTACAAAACCAAAAGGTAGATCAGCAACTCTTTTTTACATTAATATATCTACCTTCTGGTGGTGATGTCCAGTGTTCTCTGACTTGCAGGATACTTCTCAGAAACACATCTTTTGCCCTTTCATCTTTAAAAATTATATATGCCTAGATCAGATTGAGGCTGTATGAACATTTTGACATTTGAGGAAAAGTATTGTGGATGAAATCTCACCAAAATAACTAGGTTACACCTGTCAAACTGCCACAAATGTTGGCATGAAGAAATCACACAGTACCGTTTCATTTCCAAATCACTTTTTTAACATTAAAAGTTAAATTCTCACTAATGAAGACAGCTCCTAGTCAAGAAGGTATTAAATTAGTAAGTCTGAGGCAAAACAGAAAAAAAAAAGTGACAAGTGGTTTTGCTATTGTAACAGGTGTAGATTTTGTGTATGCAGGTACTCATCAATCCATACTGATAACTAATTCATACACTTTTTTGAATACAAATTTTACTCAGATACTTTAGAAATTCATGGTGAGAGGGATTTGATCAATTAAACATAAGCAAAAATAAAGCTGAAAGTCCAGCTTGTGTTTTGACCCCCAGGTTTTCACACAGGGTTCCCATAGAAGGCACTGCTCATGTCTGTTCCTTTTCTGAACTGGTTTAATCTGAAGAGGAGGGTGAGGATGGATGTTTGTAGCTTGTGCTCACGTTTGTAACTTACTGTGCCACTGCTCTGATTCTTTGTGGCGATCCAGTTGGAGGTGTGAGGCCAGCTGAACATCCTATCTTAAGCTGAATAAAATCTTGCAAAGGAATCTTAAAGACTGAATTAATAAGCTCTGAGATGTAGCAGGAGTATGGACTTGACTACAAAGCAGGACATGATGTTAAACACTGTCAGCATCTGTTGCCAGGTCACTGGGCAAAAATGGACCCACAGAAGGAACAGCCCCAGAGGCCAGAAATATTGTTGGATAAGGATGAGAAACCCTTAGAAAACACTGGTAAAAACAGCCCTACTTAAACAGATTTCTCTCCTCACTGGTATGAGGAATTGGAAGAAAAAATAATTGAAGATCTGAAATGAAGAGTTAAGGGGCCCAGGTGATCTGAGTGAGTTTGGATTAGGGCTGTTTCAGGGAGCAGTGCTTTGTGCTGTGTGAGACACCCAGAGAAGCTCACCCAGAGAAGCTCACTGCTGCTCCCCTCTCCAGCTGGAAAGCCAGAACTGTTGCAGCATGTTAGCTAATTTTGGTTCTAATTTGCCAACAAGGGAAGTAGAAATATCATTACTAGTTTTTCCCTGTTTTCTTTCCTCAAGAGAACAGTTTTTCTCTTGTTACTAAAAGAACTGGGAGAATGAAAATTGGCCTGTTTTCAGAGACACTGAGTGCCTCCAGCACCATCTGGAACCAGTGCAAGCAGCCAAACAGCTCAACATCACAGAAAATCTTCCCATTTTCAGACCCCTCCCCCCCATCCTCCCAGCTCTGCACGTGAATACAGCACAAAAGCTTCTTTCTGATGAAGATCCAGTTGGCACCCACATAAACTATATTTTCCACTGTCTCCCAGCAGGGATGGATTGCATCTTCCTTCAGAGGGAGGCCAGATGATTTTTATTACAAATGAACCAAAACCTTGAGTCAGGACATGCATTACGTTTTCCATGACAGCACTGGCTGGAGTGAAGGATCCTGATAAGAATTTAAGGATAATTGAACTCTAGTCTATAACTCTGTAGGTAGATAACAAATATAGCAGCCTCCAAATTTGGCGTGTCACCGAGCGAGGCCGGGGGAAAGGATAAATGGCCCATTGCTCAGACGAGCCAGGATCAGTCAGGATCCTGAGTCTGAGTCCCAGCTGTTCACTGTCTCTGCCTCTTGTCCTTCCCAGGACGTGTGGGCAATATCTCTTGTAGTAAATCAAAGGTGTCCAAGACTACTTTTTGGCATCAAGACTGGCTGGTAAAGAGCAGTACACGCAAATGGGGACAAACTTTTTATCAGGGTCCGTTGTGATAAGACAAAGGGTAATGGTTTTAAACTTTTGATTTAAAACAAACCGGGGATGATTTGGACTAGATATAAGGAAGAAAATTTTTACAATGAAGGTGGTGAAACACTGGCACAGATGAAACACCACAGAGAGGTGGCGGATGCCCCATCCCTGGAAACATTCAAAATCAGGTTGATGGGGCTCTGAGGAACTTGATTTAGTTAAAGATGTCCTGACTCACTGCAGGGGGG